AGCAGGAATACCTGCTCAACAGTAAAGACCAACATTCTCCCATCATCAACAAGACAACTCCTTAAGGGATAGCATTTTTTTTTAATGTTTTTAAAATTTTATTTAATTTATTTTTGGCTGTGTTGGGTCTTTGTTGCCACACGTGGGCTTTCTCTAGTTGTGACGAGTGGGGGCTACTATTCGTTGCAATGTGCAGGCTTCTCATTGCAGTGGCTTCTCTTGTTGCGGAGCATGGACTCTAGGCGCGTGGGCTTCAGTAGTTGTGGTTTACGAGCTCTAGAGTGCAGGCTCAGTAGTTGTGGCTCACGGGCTTAGTTTCTCCGTGGCATCTGGGATCTTCCCAGACCAGGGCTCGAACCCGTGTCCCCTGCACTGGCAGGCGGGTTCTTAACCACTGCGCCACCAGGGAAGTCCCTACAGATTAATTTTTCAGCACTTCATAGTAGGTCTTGAAGTCAGGCTGTGTAAGTCCTTCAACTTTGTTCTTTTTCTAGGTTGCTTTTTGTTCGTTTTTTTTTTTTTTTTTGCGGTACTTGGGCCTCTCACTGTTGTGGCCTCTCCCGTTGCGGAGCAACAGGCTCCAGACACGCAGGCTCAGCGGCCATGCCTCACGGGCGCAGCTGTTCCGCGGCATGTGGGATCTTCCTGGACCGGGGCACGAACCCGTGTCCCCTGCATCGGCAGGCGGACTCTCAACCACTGCGCCACCAGGGAAGCCCCAAGGTTGCTTTTTATATTCTATGTGTTTAGCATTTCCATATAAAGTTTAGATTCAGCTGGTCAGTCTTTTTTGGTAATGTGTTTGCTGATTTTGGTACCAGAGTAATGCTGGCCTCATAAGACGAATTGGAAAATGTCCTCATCTATTTTCTGGAAGACTGTGTGTAAGATTGTTATCCCTTCCCTGCATGTTTGATAGAATTCACCAATGAAACCGTTTGATCCTGGAGATTTCTTTATGGGAATGTTTTTGTTCAATTCAAATTATGTAATAAATATAGGGCTATTTCAATTTTTAATTTCATCTTGGCTACTTTTTAAATAACATCTTTATTGAAACATCACTCACACATCAAAAAGTGTACAGTTTTGAAATGTATAATTCACTAGTTTTTTTTTAATTACACAGAATTGTGTAACCATCACCATAATCTAATTCCAGAATGAAGTTAATTCCCACTGGGTTTCTTGCTTTACTCTGCACTGCCCCCTACTGTTTCCATGTTCTCGGAGTCTCTGGGGCCAAGCCTCACCTAGTTAAGCCTCAGCTGGGGATGGGCACGTCTGGCAACTTGTTTGCGTGTCTGAGAATGACCAGGAAAATAGGTGCTGATTTTGGGGTTACAAATAAGTTTTATCATGTGGGTGAATTTGGAAACACAGAGTCTGCAAATAACGAGGATTGACTTTTCATCCCCTCAAAGTGAGCCCATACCCATCAGTGGTTATGCCCCATACACCCCAACTCTCCCCAGCCCTGGGGAGCTGGTCCATTTTGCAGGTCATCATTCCTCTGTGCTTGCTCAGTGCCTGGCATGCAATTACATGGGATGGACTGATGCTGAGTAAATAGTTGTCCAAAAAAATGTTAGATGGAGGGGCTTCCCCGGTGGCGCAGTGGTTGAGAGTCCGCCTGTCAATGCAGGGGACACGGGTTCGTGCCCCAGTCCGGGAGGATCCCACATGCCGCAGAGCGGCTGGGCCCATGAGCCATGGCTGCTGAGCCTGTGCGTTCGGAACCTGTGCTCTGCAACGGGAGAGGCCACAACAGTGAGAGGGTGCTGGGGGGATGGGGGTGACTATTTCTCTGGACCTGGTGAGGGAGGAGTCTGTGCCTCCGACGTGGTCGAGCGCGGCTCCAGCTGGGGGAGGGGCAATTTGGTCCAACTGATGGTGTCCTGGGTCTGTGCCGTGTGGATGCCTCAATGGGCTGCGGTCTGGGGGGCTGTTACACATTCACATCTGGGAATGTGAGGGGAGGTGACTGCTGAGCATGGACAGTTCCTGGTGACCTGCCATAAACTCCTCTCCAAGGGACCTCGGTCTGACCACTCAGCCCATGCTGACTCCAACCTGCTTACTGGGTATTGCCGGCCAGCCCCACCCCCCCACACCTGCCCACACGTACACAGCCACACACGTTCGTACCCACATGCATACGTTTACACAGCAATTCCCACATACACGCACGCACACATGTGCTCCCCCATGCACACACACGTGTCCACGTCTGTGCATGCACGCACACACAATGCTTCCACAGTGCTGAAAAAGCAAGCATGACACTCAGGCCGTCTGCCTCCTGGGGCAAGTTCTATCATGTTTCCATCATTCCCTGCAGGCCCCCCGCCACATACTCTTCAACTCACACTGAAGAGCCCAGTGGGCAGTTTAAGGCTTGGCTGCACTGGCAGTGCGGTAAGGAACGCAGATCTGCCTGGCGTGGAGCTGGTCTGGGGCAGAGTCTTCAGGGGGAGGAGCTGGATGCTGTGTGGCCCTATCCGGAGCTGAGCTGCCAGGTGCCACTGGTTAATTATGACAATGACTGACAGAGAGTAACAATCAAGGCTTTATTCACTCGTTGCAGTAGCAGAGCTAGAGGCCAGAAGGCAGGCGCTGGCTCCCCTTGTTCTGTTTCCTCCTCCCATGGAAAGGCACCGTCAAGGTCAAGGTGGGTCAGCTGGTGGGATGGGGATGCCTCACTGCAGAGAGGGCCCCACACAAAAGGCTCCTGCTGTTTCATGGACTTAGGGCCAAGGGTGGAGGAAGGGAGAACCAGACTGAGCAATGAGTCAGAGTGGAGAGAAGTTCAAGTTCCCTCAGTAAGAACCCCTTGGCCGACGGCCCCCAAGAAGGTGGCCTCTGAATGGAGATGCCCTGGCCAGCAGTAAGCTGTGTCCAAGAGCACAGCCAGCCAGAGGGCCTGCATCCTTGAGTGCGGCTCCGCTCGGAAACAGGCCCTGTCTGGGCTCCAAAGCCTGGTGTGGGGAGGGCGGCTTCTCAAGAGAACGGAGGGTAAAGCATCTGCAGTCACCTTTGCTAAGCTGCAGCATCTCACACTCGACCCTGGCCTGGAGTCCCCTCTCCAACAGGTGAGGGAAGCAGGATGGAGCCCTGGGAGTCAGATGTCAGCCCCCTCCCGGGCCCCCAGACCCTAGGGTGAGACCCTTCCTGTGAGAGCTGGGGCTGGGACCCTGGGCAGGCACACAGCGCTGTCCTCCTCTCCCACAGTGCTGGGTCACCCGGGCCTGCCCGGGGCTGTGGGGAGGCCTCCAAGCCAGCTGGAGGATTTGCTAGGCGCCCTTATCTCCCTGGATGAGGCTGTGACAGTGGCCGCATGGAGCCCAGGAGGGGAAAGCACTGCTCCTGCTCCCTCAGGCAGGCGTCACCCACTTGCACCCGGGGCAGAGCCAGAGGCATATTTGGGTCGGACGTCGAGGTTCACCGAGAGGCGAGGTCACTCTGCTTCTGCACAGGACACCAGTCCGTGTCCGGGTAAAGAAGGCAGTGGACGGACTTAAACCTGGGAGGGAAGTGGGAGTCAGGCTGCAAGAGGGGTGGGCTGGCCCCAGCACTCCTCCCCACTGCCGGCTCACCGCGTGGGGTCCTGCTGCAGGCTGAAGCCTCCGGCCACGTTCACCACATTATGTGGGTTCTCAGGACCCCCGTAGCTCAAGGTGACCTGGGAGAGAGGAGGAAGGAGAGTCACTCTCTGGGCCAGTGCCTCCTACCCCATCCTTCACAGGAGATACCACTCGGCCTCCTGTTTCCCTAGCGCTCCCCACTCAGCGCTCTCAGGGCAGGCTCAGGAAGAGCACTGAAGTGTGATGGGGGCTGAGAAGCGTCGCTGGCACAGAAGATACCTCAGGGAGGTGGCTGGTGCACGTAGGGGCGAGAGGTCCCTAACCCTCTGCCCAAAGCTGATCCCCCTCCCTGGGCCAGGTCTGTGACTCCTGTCACCCCTGAACCACTGCCCATGGCCTGGGTGTACTGGGCCCACCCGCCTGGGAAGGCACAGCAGCTGTTCTTTACAAAAGAGCCCCCACGTGAGCCTGGGAGCCCCCTACAGCCAGGACCCTGGGTCACAGCAGCCAGGGTCCAGAGTCCACGGCAACTTTGCCGCAGCACTGGAACCCACCCCCGTCCTGAACCCTTGTTCAGCCAGGAGCCCATCTGGGGGCTGGGGAGCCAGGTAGGGGCAGAGGCCCAAGTCAGGGACACCTGCGGAGGCAGCAGGGGCCCAGCATGCCTACCTGCTGCAGCAAGGTGTCAGGCGGCAGCCTCTGCAGGCTTTCCAGGTGGGAGTGGAACAGCGAGCTGTGCAGCAGGCGGGCGCCCAGCAGCCCCTCCACAATGTAGCCCACCGTGCAGTCGTCTGGCAGCCGCACCCGCTCGGCTGTGCTCATGAAACTGCCCAGGCTGGGGAGCGGAGCGGGGACAGGTCAGCGCCTCCCCAGCCCTGGGCAGCTCCACCTGCGGCAGCCAGCGCCTGCCTGGCCTTCACTCACCTGGCCCATGGGCTCATCTTGAGTGCAAGGCCTCTGCTCAAGCAGAACCCAGCCCCACCGGTAGCAAACCAGAACTTGACCGTGGTCACCTGAAGGGAAGAGAGCCATCAGTCAGGTCTCTTCACCCCAACTCTTCATCTGGGCACTCCAAGGGTCGTCCCCAAGCTGCTCCTTAATGACTCCCTGGTCAATAGGCAAAAGCTTCCCAGGGCACAAGGGCACCGGGGCTTCCACAGCCCAGCTGTCTGTGGCCCCAGCCCCTCCCGCAGCCCCACCTCACTTATCCCAGTTCCTGAAACACTGCATCTGGGTGGATCGGGCACCTGTCCCAGCCCTTCCCTGCTGGGGTCTCCATGTTCTCAGTGGCCCCTCCCCGGCCCCAGCACTCACAGTTCCACCTCCTTGGACCCTCTCGGTAGCCTCGATGGGGTGGTCTAGGCTGGGCCGCCCCAGGTAGACGTCCTGGCTGGGTGAGAAGGTGGACAGCAGCTGCAGCAGGCCTTCGGGGTTTACGTAGTTGTCATCGTCCACATGGCAGAACCACCTGGGAACGTGCAGTCTCTGGAGCGAGCCGGGCCCAGGGGGTGGGGGTGGGGGAGCCCCTGGCCCAGGTGGGGGCCCAGACTCTCACTCAGCCCTGGGGTCTCCAGGGGGCATGGGCGTGGCCACCACATACTTGCGTCCAGACTCAATGAACTTGTCGTATTCCACTGACATCTTGCAGCACAGAGCCTGGCGTGTGTGCACGGCCGAGCAGTTGGTGTTGACGACATGGCTGCCTGCCCATTGGAGAGACGGAAGCATGAGGGCTGGGGTCAGGCCTGCTGCCAGCCCAACCCACTGAAGTCGGGCAAAATGCGGCTGGCTGGTCAGCACAGGGCCTGTCCTGTTCAAGGCCCGGAAGTCGGACCCAATCACAGCTCTGTCTTGACCTCCTTCAGCTAATCCTGTTGCTGCCCTCCGAAGTCTGGATAGATGAGAACCACTTGGAATCTCATGGGAGAAAACCCACCAGGAAATAGGACTGGGGCGGGACCACACTGCTCTGGGCAGGACTGGAAAGGATGGTTCCCTGCTGGCCCACATTCAGGGGACATGACTCCAGGTTCTGTCCTCTACCAGCTGCATAATCTTGGGCAGGTGCCTTAACAACCCCCCACCCCGGGCCTTTATACACAGCAGGGGTCCATGTGGCACTGAACCAAGGGATAGCTGAGAAGGAAACCCTCGGACACGCCGGCAGGGCTGGGCTGGGGAGGGCACTCACCTTCCTGGAGCTGTAGCTCAGGGTCATCCCCGTCGGTAAAGATGAATGTCTATAGAGAAATAGCCTGTGAGGTTTCAAGAGGCACCTCCCAGGGACTCTGGGCCTGGCAGGGCTTTGGCCCTGTGAGCAAGCGTGAAGCTGGAGAGGCAAAGGTGTGCTTGGACGGGATGGGGTCCAGGAGAAGGGAGGGCGGTGTTCCAGTGACAGCCTGCTAGTGCCCTCAGCATCCCCAGTGCTGCTAGGGCCAGGCTTGCTCTTGCTGGAGGAGTTTCTGTGCTCTCAGCCCAGTGTCAGCTGGGAAAACCCACCCAAGCCTGGAGCCCGAAAAAGGACAGGAAAGGGTGGGCACTGAGGGTCCTGGGTCTCTGCATACTCAGGCCTGCGGCCTGACTGCCATGCTAGAGACACAGCAGTGGGTAGGGGGTCCTGGGGGTGGTTATCCTGGGTGGGGTCCAGGACGGGGTTGCCAGTTTGGGGATGAGGGCGCGGGGTCCCAAGGCAAGGATGCCGGGGTAGGAGTCCCGGGTGGAGGATCCCGGCGGTGGAGGTCCTGAGGGCGGAGTCCGGGGGCGGCTGTACCGGGACTAGGGATGAGGGAGGTCCCGGGCCCCGGGGTCCCAAGGTCAGGAATCCGGGGAGCTGGGATCTCGGGGCATGGGAGGGTGCCGGGGTCGGGGGTCCCGGGGTCCGCGGGGTCTCGGGACGGGGCCCACCTGCCGTCGGGCCCGGGAGATCCAGGTGCGCAGCAGCAGCCCCAGGCGCGGCCCGTGGTTCTTCCGGGTGGTCTTGACCGCGATGAAGACGTCGTCGGGCCGCAGGCGGGGGGCGGTGGCGGGC